GTATGAAAAATGCCAGTCAAAATACGACCCGAAAATATGCTGTGTTTGCAAAAGGAATCAATATAACGATCCTACAATTTGCGGAATGCTGACTTAAACGAAATTGGCCCTGTTACATCAACTTATTTGTTAATAGCCTGACTTGGTTTAAAAATTGAGCATGCTCTTGCGTATCGAATCAGCTGGGAGAGGTAAAAAGCAGATATAGGTGATAATTGAATGTTACTATTTAAATGAGGAAGGTGGCGATAAAAAGCTGAATTCGTCTCTATTGTCCTATACTCTAGTTGTTAGTTGGCATTAACGTTTAAAATCAGCAAAACATTCAAGTATGAAACAGATGAGGTTAACTCTGTGATGTCTTTATTTCAAATGATTTTTTTTTTTGCTTTTGAGTCAACAAATGATTTCTATAGATCCGTTAAATTTTGTAAGAGGTAATGATTTATAAATTCCTAAACAGTAAACATGTACTTATGCAGTGATACTTTAATGTTTCAATGACGGTGAAAAATATTTTGACGTACATTAAAGTCTGTGTATTTTTCGTAAGTAGCGAATATTATGGTCATCCTGAAAATTGCAAAATTTCAAACCTCGGGGTCTCATGGAGAGAATTAAGAAAATTAAAATGTATTCTAACGACATTCCTACACTAACGAAATGTGGAAGCAAAACAGTAAGTGAGCACGAGGATAAAACTGAGTGTAGAATACATTCAGTTATAAAATGATTAAAAATAGGTACGCAAAACAAAAACATGGCCGTTCAACAAGTTTGATATATTCGTCGAACACATGAAACAGTATGAACTTGTTCTATCCAACTTCTCGACTTTTTCTCTCTCTCCTTCTCTCTCTCTCTCTCTCTGCAATCAAGTTCAAAGACCGAGAAAAAAATTGAATATAATTGTAAACAAGTTGTACAGTTTTTATATTTTGTTTGCTTCTTTACACCTTTTCACTTTCTTAAAACACTTTCGTGTAAAACCCGGTATGTACAGGGGTTTTCCTCCAAGCTTGAGTTGTCTTGCAATATATATATATATCGATGATAATTCAGTTTTGAGCAGGGTGTCCTGAAAATTCAAGTCGATATGAATGGACTGACTTTGGGTGATCATATGGAAATAAGCTTCAATTTTGAATCACGATTCCTACATTGAAAAAAGCTCGATTTCATGGAACAATACACCAACTTCAGAATTTTAACTCAAAATGATGTAAGGTTGAACATAAGTCGAATGTTTGTGTACATTGCCAGGCTTCGTCAATGTCATTTTCTACAAAGATCATTATACTATACAAATCGGCATTACGTCTGGGAATAGCTCGGCAGAAGATGACGTAATAATAGTCAGATATATTAGTTGTTTACTTCTGGTGATCACTTTCCCTAGAGTTGCCCACTGAGGCTGTTAAAAGAGGTATCGTAGCGTATTGGCACCCTTCCCAGCACACTGTCACCTGTTCTAACAAATTACTATACTCTCTTCTCTTCATTATTTAATATAAAATGAATTATGGTCAAGTTTGCTTTGGAAGGAAAGCAAAATTCATTTCGCATTATGTATAAAAGGACTGTCCCTGGCTCTGTATGAAGATTCCGTCAACTCTAAAAGTTAGGTTTTAAAGAATTGTGAAAAAAATGTTGATAGAACAATCTGTGGTTGAAAATTTGGAGCAGTAGAAATCAGTGTAAAAATTTCAATAGTTCTATACAAGGAAAATCTAATTATGCATCAGTTTAACAGAAAACATTGGAGTTTTGTCATGACTTGGAAAAGTAGTGATATTCTTGCATCATTAAAATAGGTAATGACTACGATATAGTTTTTGAGGTGAAAGCTTTTAAAGTGAAGAAAATACTAGTATCTTACGATGTTAAAGAATTAAGGCACCTCGGGGCATGAGTGTGTTTTATTCTGTTTTTAATATCTAGTAGCATTGTGATTTTTGCAAAAAGTAATCTGTCTGGAATGAAACAAACCTGCCAATGTCAAAAAGAGAAAAATAATGAATGAAGAATGCCAGACTTTAATGTTTTAAGATCGAATATGTCATTGAAACACTATTCAACGGAGACACATAGACTTCATTTCTTCTGGAACATAATATTAGGTGACACTTTTTCTTTGACTCCAAGGACTTGTCTAGTGTGCAAAATCCACAAATACAGGCGGAGTGAGGAATCAATATTTAGACGATTTAATGGAAAAACATTCTGCCACTTTAGTACAGGAGTCATTCATAAGTTTTCTTATGTCAAAATGTAAATGTCAGCAGATCTGAAACATCGCACATTAATCTGGAACTAACTTCTTTAAAAAGGGGTAAGATAGAATTTATTTTAAATTATTCTAAGAAGAGTTTTTAAAATCTTTATGACGTAGTCTTTGGGTAAATAATATTTTTAAATAAAGATTAATAAATTCAAATTTTACTGATTCTGCTGATGGTTTCAAACCATTTTCCGTCGGTCATTATTTTGAGATACATGTAATGTGTTACGACAGTATATCGACTGTCTCTGGAAATGCATTCTGATTTTTTATTTTTTCCATTGGAGATGGTGTTTCAAAGATGAAATCAATCAGAAATAAGTTACCACTATCCGTTACAATTCTGCATCTTGGTAGCGTTCTTCAAATTCTAACAATTTATCACAACACCAGCGAGAACCCATTTTATACATGCATGTATATGTATGTATATGTATCTTTTATACAAAAACTTACAAAAACGAATATACAAAACTAGCAAGTAAAAATTCAAATTAGAACATAATCTCCTCTGAAATTGAAGGCAGAGGAGAATAAATGCAAATTTTATTTTCAAAAAAATATCCCGTATGTGAACTGTACCTCAGTGGTGTAAATGAAAAAGTTTGCGGGAAGGAGTTGATATTTTGTAGTATAAAATGAATGTCCGTAGGATGCCTATATCGATCTCTCTTTAGGCCGTTGGAATATTTACCTGCATGACTTTCTAGATGTTGAATCAAGTCAAGGGATATGTTGTATGTTTCGTTTTCTATGTTACACAATGTATACATGTATGTATATGAATCAATAATTGAGAAACGTTTTCACAGAGATAAAAGAATGGCAACTCTAACGAAAGCTTAATCATTCTTTCAGGTGACATAGAGTGGAAACAAAAAAAGTACGTATATTCTCTCTCTCTCTCCGTGTGTGTGTATGTGTGATCAAAGATTGTCTTACCAAATGCATTAGTCATACTTTTTGTACTATCAAGTGCTTCCACATTACAAATCCAGACTAAATATTATCTGTCATCGACCTTGGACTCTGTCAAGGTTAATTGAATTTTACCTATTTTATTTTTAATATTTCCGAAAACAACAACAAAAAGGAAAAAAAGAAAAGAAAAAGAAAGAAAGAAAAAAGAAAAGCTAGAAATCTTGTTTTTGGTATAATTCAGTATTAAATAAATTATTTACCAGAATTTCTTATTTCTAACAATTTAAACTTCTTTGTGGAGGAATATTTTGATATTAAAGAAAATAAAAGAAAACATTAGTCAATATTAACATCGACGCATAAAGATAACCAAAGTACTGATACAGCACTGAAGCACGGAACAAATTAATATATTTAATCGTAATAATATCTTGTGGATTCTCATATGTTATGACAATAACATAAAAAACAATTTATGAAAATTTGACCTTAAAATGAAAGAAGATGGGTGAACAAGGCGGGCGAAGTGCCTATAGTGCGACAAACATGAAGTGAAAAATAAAATCTCAATTATATCGAAATTTTCTTTGATATTTCAACTAACATTAAAGTATACTTTATGTAAAATCTCTACAATTTACAAAAATCTCACAAAGACTGAAATTATTTGCCTACGAAATAGCATACACACACGAAAGAGGACAAAAAGCATCATTTTCTCATACTTTAACAAAATTTTTCGATATGAGTGGGTCTTCGCTCCATTTTTTTGAAAGTTAATCCTAAAAGTTTGCATAAAAATATTCATTTTTTAGTTTACAAAAACATGGAGCAAAGACCCACTATACCTTAAAAGTACACTTTTATGACAAAGCATTCGCATCTTTCCGAGAAATACTTGAAGTCCATTAAGTCAAGGGTCATATCACAAACATGATTTAAATACCACTATTTATCAGGAGCTGTGTAGCGTAGTGGTTAGCGTGTTAGTCTCAAAGCAGTATGATACCTCGGATTTTTATTGTAAGGGGGTTCGAATCCCACGAATACCATTTTATTTTTTTAATAAAAGAATAATTTTTTCCGAGATCTTTTTTTCTCAGAAAAGTTTTGTTGATCATAATTTCATGAATTTCAATAATGAGAATTTTACTTTAAATACTTAATTCACAAATTGAATATAATTTTTTTAATATCTGAAGCTATAGGCATTCTGAACGCCTTGTTCACCCATCTTCTTTGAAATCTAACAATGTAACAAATTATCAAATGAAAATGTTTGGACCTTATACCATGGTCCGATTGAAACAATTTTTTTTTCAACTGTTTAGAAGAAAACCTTGCATCACTTTTTGGCTTGATTTGTTGTGTCCTTCGATCAGAGCACTCTTTTTCTTTAGAGTAGCTTAAATTCAGACAGTACCTCGGCGGCTTCCGGTAGAGGCCTTACGCGACCCCGTCTATAAACAGTTAATTTTCTCTTGACATTTTTAATAGCGAGAGGCATTTAGTAATATTTTGCTAAACATCATGTCTAATGAAAGCATTTTTGAACAATTAAGTTACAGTTAATTGGATATCAGATTGTTTTATTATGAAATTTAATAATAATGCAACTCCAACAAACAATTATTCAAAGTATTCATTTGACGATAATATACATATGTAGGATAATATCAATGGAATATCAAATAAATACCCACTGAATATGTTATAGGTATTGTCATATAAAGTACAAGATTTATGACACATCTGACTATCACTCTTTGTTATCTAAATGAAGTTTCATCTGTTTCAGTGGCGCCCTTAGAGTTGGCCGCCATGTTGATCGCCATTGTAAGTCTCGTGCTGTTTGGCGTGGGACTTCTATGTTTCTGCTGCTGGAAATTTCCCTCCATCAGAACTAGAACTTACTGGGACAAACAGACAAAGAAAATACTCAGATCTATATATAGTAAGTAATGCTAAATGTATTATTGTTTTGCGGGTGAAATATATGTTACAGGAGTAAATTCAAAGCTCATACATGAGCCATTTTCTAAAGCTGAAACTTTGCACAGCGCTTGTTAATTAATGTCCCCTTACTTTTTCAAAGAAATGCCTTGATAACAAATCCTAAATAATTGATGTCCTTTTTCATTCTGTGACGCTTGTAAATTTACGTAACTAATGCTAACTAAATCATGCCACTTGCAATTGCGTCGGTAGTGCACAAAAACGATAGAATCTGGTATTCTCTCATTCAGAAACACTAGTGTTTAACATTTACATACCAAGAAGTACCCATGTTTTAACATGGAAAAGCTATAAGTGAGATACACGCGGACAATTGAAATATTTCCCCTTTATTCAGCATCAAGGATTTCCGGGGTTTTTTTTTAACTACAAGGCACTATTTGTTTCCAGTAGCTAAAGCACATATACTTGTATTAATAATTCTGTACAATCGTGTTTCATCTGTGTATTAAGTGTTACTTTCGACCAAGAGGTGATGCTTACGTCATTACATTGCCGTCAGCGACATGTACAAACTATCCAGTGGACGACTAAATTTCAGGTGGGAGAATCGCTTCACTGAGTAAAACCTCACGTAAACCTTGATGTAACTCACCCTTTTCTGATGCATTATACATCAACATATTGAAAACAGGATGTGCTTGTGAAACACTGATGTCCTCGTATGGCAACTTATAGCGAAGGTTAAACTTTCTCAAAAGCAATTCAAATATGTTGGTACCCAAAGTAAGGTCGTGTATCGAGGAATATATCTGTGAAAAATGAAAGTCCTAACAACAACCATAGAAATATGGAAAAGGATAGAGTTTTATAAAAGTAGGTCAAACATTAAGATCAAGTTCAAATGGTCAAAATTAATGGTGCCCAAGGAAGGCCTTCTCACTAGAAATACACATGTGAAATTTGAAAGCCCTAGCACCAACCATTCAAATGTTTTGGCGAAATTTGTCCGTTGTCCGTCCGTCTACCTTTCCACCTGTCTGTAAATTCTTCATCAGAACAATTGGACCTATTTCATCCAATATCGTTGAGTGAAGGGGACTCAAATTTGTTCAAATGAAGGCCACGCCCTCTTGAAAGGGGATATAATCAAGAAAAGGCTAGAATAGGATTAATGTTTTAAAAAAATCTCCCTCGAAAACCAGTGAACCAGATAAAATGAAACTTGTATGAAAGCTTCCTGACATAATAAAGATTCAAGTTTGTTAAAATCATGGCCACTGTGATTAGGGTAGGACCACAGTAGGGGATTAAACTTTTACATGTTCATAAAGGAAAAAATCTCTTTGAAAATCTTCTTGTTAAGAACAGGGCCATGATTAGTCATATTAATATGCAAGCATCTTAAGATAGTGCAGATTCAAATTTGTTCAAATCATGGTCCCTGGGGGTAGCATGGGGCTACAATAAGGGATAACAGTTTTACATATGAATATAAAGGAAATCAAGAAATAATTTTTTCAGTAATGCAGACATATATTGTGTCACTGTGGTTGCATTTTTTAATTTTTAAATCATGGACCTTGGAATAAGGTGGGAAATAAAATCAAGATTAAATTTTACATAATGCATGTATAGAGGAATTCTTTTTCCGGAACAGCAATGTCATTTATATTAGTCATATATTCCGGAACAGCAATGTCATTTATATTAGTCATATATTTCGGAACAGCAATGCCATTTATATTAGTCATATATTCCGGAACAGCAATGCCATTTATATTAGTCATATATTCCGGAACAGCAATGCCATTTATATTAGTCATATATTCCGGAACAGCAATGTCATTTTATATTAGTCACATATTCCGGAACAGCAATGTCATTTATATTAGTCACATATTCCGGAACAGCAATGTCATTTATATTAGTCACATATTCCGGAACAGCAATGTCATTTATATTAGTCACATATTCCGGAACAGCAATGTCATTTATATTAGTCATAATGATATAGAGGCAGCTAATATGGCGAGGATTCAATTTTGGTTAAACCATAACCTCATATTGCTTGGTTTGAGCCACAATAAAGTATCAAAAGTTTTCATTAGAATTAAAAGGGGGATTTCAAAACTTCTAAGGAAGAGCAACAGTGCCAAGGTAACTTAGGTGAGCATTGCGGCTCATTTACTTCTTGCTATTTTGTGGAGTTTGTCTCGACGAAAAAAAATATTCTCTTTTTTTTTAAATTGTAAGTCAACTCACGTGTATATTGTAGAGAGCTATTCGCTATTTTTGTGAATGTTTCAGCAAATTAAATAATTAGTTAAGGATTTAATTTCTACATGTGATGATACGTGTATTTCATTTGTAAATTCATTTTGTCTCTGAAATGAAAACCAAAGGTTGCTATAGAAAGAGCTTAGAGGAAATTATTGACCTCTATGTATGTCCTTGGGGAAAGAAAATACCTTTGAGAAACCAAAAAAAAAACCTTATTAATTATTTTTCCAGACATATAATTGAGTAGAACAGCAGTAATGTTACAATAATTTGATTAAATCCTAGAATAGATACATAATTTCATATATCCATTTTCAAACATGAGGAACTGTCTTGTCGTTTGCTTAAGGAGGCTGGGGTCAAAAAAAATTTCTTCAAAAGTCATCAAATTAGAAGAAAAGTGTAATATGATCATCAGTTACATTTTAGTGTGAAAGATCACTTTTACTAATGAATCAGAATAAGGGTTCTATATAGTCATTTCTTAATTTAGATGAATGGTTAACCTTTTCAGTTTATGTGAGTGGTGATGTAGTTGTTACATAAACTTTAAATTGTCACTTTTGTGTCTATTTTGATAACAGAAAACGTGCCACAGATGTAGAGAGAAGAGGCATAGTCCTGTTTATCAATTCACCATTATGTAAAGCACCTGTTTTTTTTTAAACAAACAAACAAAAATAGTACAAAACAAAACAAAAATGCAAATACTATAATGAACATATATTTTCCCTCTTTTGGTCGTCAGTGCTTGTCTCATTTATTGTTTATTATGTAGATAACGTATCGTTTTGTGTGTGTGTGTGTATTTGTGTGTATTTTATGTGTATTTGGATGTTTTACTGACTAAAGACGATAACGGCCAACTAACATCTAAACTGTATGACAAACGAGATGGTTCAGATTTCCCAACTCCAAATGCCTTTATTTATGTAGTAATATTCAACTATCACCTACATACGGGGTTTATGTCTCCCAACCCAAAATAAAACATGTATATCGCAGGTGATGACCACAGAAATCTTTGTAAAATAATAATCACAGAAATACATCTAAAATAACGACCACAGATAATGAACACAGATATATTACAAATAAACTTTATGACAAACGTGATGATTCAGCTTTTTCCATCGCCAACTTTATTTATGTAGTAATATTCCACTATCACCTGCATACGGTATTTATTTCTCCGAACTTATTTGAGACGCAAGAGCATGCTCTGAATACGATCAATTTTTAAACCGAGTCAGTCTACTGACATATAAGTTTTATGATACAGGGATTTCAACAACCTCTTTTAAAGTCAGCATTTTCGAAATTTTTTGTTCGATATAATGACCTTGTTTGCAAATACGACATTATCATTGGGTCGTAATTTGACTGACATGTTTTATACCAATTGTTAGTGAAATATGAGATTTTTATAATTACCTTATTTATTTTAATACAGTATATAATGATACTTTGTATTAGCTATAACTATTGACTGTAAATATTATGTTATGATTTCCTTAAATTTAGAAATTTCGATTGTTGTTCCATAAAGAATTACTTTTTTTTTACCTTAATGTTGTCAGCTTTTTTTTTCATTATTTCATTATCCGGATCGAACTTAACAATACACGCTTCAGCGGATTGCGTAGGGCCCTTACAGATAGGTCAGGTTTTCCAGTGTTTCTAAAAATATTCTTTACTGTGTTTGCCAACATTTTTTAACCATGTCATTCTCTTTTTTTACAACCTAAGATAAAGTTAGGTTGAGTGCACGCAAACATTCAATACATTCTTTTTATATAATGATTAATATTGGCGCATATTTCCCATTTACAATGTTTACAAATGTCAAAAAGCTAACCACAGCTTGAAGTCTTTACGTTTCAAAAGGACATCACACAGAAGGACCGAAAGCACACCTCTGGTGCGTAAACCGTTGTCGCCAAACGGTCGGAGGCAAAGGCAACATTTTTAGACCATGCATTGTGACGACAATTATCCCAATTAAAAGGCTTCTCCACGCGAAGCCAACACTTTGAACATTACTGATATTTAACCTTTTAGCAGAATGAATGTTCATCTGATGTGAGGATTGTCATATCCAGAGAAAAACGACATTGATTTTACGACAATAACACCCTCCCTTAAACTGTTTACAGCTAATGGTGATTTCGGGATTCGAATTTGTCATGGCAACCGTTATCAAATCAGAAAACAGAGATCCCTGGCCACTGACACTATTATATGAAATTGACAGCAGATTTACTTTTCTAACATTTTACACTACTTCTGTGACAACTTAATCTAAAGCATCTTGTATGGCTAAGCACATAATCTCGTGGTTCTTAGCAATTTATCATCCTCCACGTTACTGCGCGGAATTAGGGTTCTAACCTAAGCAAAAAAAAAATATTGATCAGTAATCACTCTTTTGTACGTTAATTAAAACAATCCACTTCAAAATTTATAGTCATGTATTTTTTTTTTTTCATTTTTTTTCTCTTTTTCCTAATTGTTCTTCTAAGGAACGCAAATAAATTTCAGGAATAATCTAATTTTGAATTTAACGATTAAAATCATAGAAAGATTAAACACATCAAATTTCGTCGATGAATTTATACCCGTTTGAATAATATCTTTGTTCTCTTTAGTTAAATTTTGAATGTTTTTCTACCATGTATGCATACAATGAATATGTTTTTTATATAGCAATGTCAAAACAGCATGCGCAGTATTACTACGAATCGTCTCTCAATGCCTTCGTCTCAATGCCTTTCTTCTCGTTTTTGTTATAATCATAGATTTGCAAATAACTTTTTTTTTAATTAAATATTAGCCAAAAAAGTAATACATGATTTCTGAGTCAGATTGACTTAATTGCACAAATGTCGAAGACAGGGGAAAAGTACAGTCACTTCAATTATTTCAGTATCTTTAAATTTCATTAAACTATGTGAAACTGTCTTATGAAATTTTTTTTAATAATAACGAGTGTCATTTTAGTCGGACATTCAATATTAATTTTCGTCTGAATTATGATATATATATATATATGTTTAAAAAAACATTTTTCAAACTAAATTGCCTTCTGAAATAAATGTTTACAACTAGCTGCAGAAGGAAAATGATGTTATCTCTATATGGCATGTCAAATGTTGCAATTTTCGATCTTTTCCACTTATACTCGTATTCTATGATACTCAGTTTGCATTGTATAGTTCACAATTTTCAAGTGTATTGTATAATTTTTATTTGTATTGTATCGACGATGTTTTATCAATTAACGATAGTTATTTTCATTCGTACGTCGACTCGATACAGATCCTAGTGAACTTGAAATAAAAGACACTATTTGAAATAAAAGAGTCTACCACATCGGTTTCATATTTAGATGTTTTACTGACTATAGACGATAAAGGTTAATTAACGACTTAATTGTATGACAAACGAGATGACTTTTGCTTCTCCATCGTCAACTTTCCTTATTTATGTAGTAATATTCCACTATCACCTGCTTATGGTATTTATGTCTCCCAGCTTATTCGCTACTCAGGGACTTGCTCTGAGTACCATCAATTTTTAAAGCGAGGCAGACTACTCACTGATAAGCTGATGTTAGAGGGATTTCAACAACCTCGTTTAAAGTTAATATTTCGTAAAGTTTATGGTCGTTATAATGACCTTGTTAGCAAAAAATAACCTATCATTGTATGGTTATACCACCCAATGATAGGTTATTTGGCTGACTTGTTTCATACCAATTGTTAGGCCTTTGTTTTTGTACAGGATTGACTTCGGATTGTTCCATCTACCTGATCAATACAAAGGGCACACGGCGGGTGTGACCGGTCAACAGGGGATGCTTACTCCTCCTAGGCACCTGATCCCTCCTCTGAAATTTCCAGGGGTCCGTGTTTTATGCCATCTTCACATATTTGTATTGTTTGTGGATTTTATTTTTAGTTCGATCACTGTTCGTTATTTTTACCTTTTACATTTTATTTATATTGTATTATATTTACATGTATTTGTATTGTATCATTTCTTATTTGTATTCTATAATTTTTCATTTGTATTGTATATTTTTATTTGTAATCTTTAGCTTTCTTTTTATTCTATAATTTCCATTTGTATTGTGTATTTTTATTTGTATTTTATCATGTCTATCTGTGTTCGTTATTCGTTCTTTGTATTGTATAATATACTTTTTGTATTCTATAATATTCCAATATGTGAATTCCATTTGTATTCGGTAACATCTGTTACTTCTGCGCACCTGATCCCACCTCTGCAATTTTCAGAGGGTCTGTGTTTTATGCCCTGTTCACAGACTTGTATTGTTTTTGTTTGTTGGTTGGTTGTTGTTTTTGTTTTGTTTGTTTGTTTGTTTTTGTTTTTTTTTTTTGATCGATCACTGTTCGTTATCCTCATCTATTTCATCTTTATAAATTAAACAATATGGAAATTTTAATATATAATACAAACAGAAAATATACCATACAAATGTAAAATCATTGAATACAAATTGAAAAGTATTCAGTACAAATGGAAAACATACATTACAAATGAAAAATTATGCAATACGCAAGGAAAATTATAGAATACATATGGAACATTATATAATACAAATAGGAAGATATAAAAAACAAATGGAAAGTTATACGATACAAATGGAAAGGACCGAATATTGCAACATTTGACGTGCCATACACTTTATTTTCCTAAGAAATTCAGCACCCACGGAAGAAAAAGCGCATTTAATTCTTGCCGATCCACGATCGCCATTTTTACCTGTAAACAAACTCATTCTTCACTTGCCGAGGTTCACGAAGGCGTTGTAAATAGTCATAAATTTGAAATTCTTATGTCTACCACGAATATTGATTCACTAAAAAAATGTCTTTATTTGTTAAGAAAATATTTTCCTGTTTTCAGTAAAATTGTATTCTATTGATTATTAACCCACTCTTCCTTACTCGACCTTGTATTTTGTATGATATATGTAAATATGTTCATGTACCTCATATTACATTGTATGGTCCGAGCGTAACAAGCAAAATAAAAACGTTTCTGATACAAGCAAAGCGGTGACATCTTTTGGACGAAAATGTCTCAAGAATTCGTTGGTATAAAGAAACTGATGGCAGGTCTGTATTGTGGAAACAGATGAGAAAACAATCTCCCGTGATATTGATTGATTGAAAAGTTAAATCTACCTATGCTGCTTTTGCAATAATGCCAAATCTTGTATTTTATAAATGTATCTATTATAACGTATTTTGAAATGCGCATTTCAAAAAACGACAGTTTTTCCCTATATATTTACACATGCGCAACCTAATTTTTGGAAATTGGGGGGAGGGGGGATGCGCCCCCATATCCCCCTCTTTATTCGTCAGTGGGCTTCCATTGGCTATTATTAAAACCTTCATCTGATTTTTTGGGGAGTAAAAATAGATGCAATTTAATTTGTATGCCTACCTGAGTGATTTATAATGCACAATTTGTAAACAATAATCATTTAACAAAATGAAATGTATGGAGATAACGAACAGTATTCCTGCTCAAAAGTCCATTAAACAATAGAGAACAAGTTTAGCAATTTTATTGCAATGTTTAAAAAGCTGTTTCTCGAAGAGTTTAAGCATTGTGAAATCTCGATTGCATTACAGAGGAATATTATTGTATATAAGACGTTTATAAAGAAAAAAGGTAGAATTCAAATTTAGTTACCTAATGGGTCTTTCGTTTTTTCATATCTTGAATGTAACGGGGGGAAATAACTATGTATCCTTCTCATTTGCGCTTTGTTTTTTTCTTGGGGTGGGGTGGGGGGATTGAAGGCATAATGAAATTTGTACCACAGCTGATTCTTTTTAAAATATCTAAACAAATTATATTTTTATATTTAATTTCACAAGACATCTTATTTCATGTAAGAAGACATTGAATGCTTCATTGAAAACTTAATTGCACCAGATCTTTGATCCTTTCGGAATATTTACGAAGCGCATGTATAAAAGGGCCATGATTTGAACTTGAGTCATAATATATACGACAAAACACAGATCAATAAATGGTTTGTGGCAGTCTGTAGCAGGTAAATTAAAAATGATGAAGTCCGGAGTATCAAAGCTAACATATAATTGGAAATCTTCGGTTGCGAATTATTTTTCTGTTGAAATATAATCACCGACCACGTGGTTTAAGACCTTTTCCTAACCCAAGGCTAATCGCTCTGGCTCAATGTTTTGCTTGTCAGCACGTTAATTATATTTATTGCGATAAAGCTTCATTAGGAATTATTCGCCATTTCAAGATTCAAAGACAAAAGAGCTCTGAGCATCTGTCTCTTTGATTGCGCGTTCCTGTGGCAGTTAATACGGTATACGGACACTTGACGTGCGGTAGCGTCGTGAGGTCGTGATAAAAATTATTGTCATTCCATAGTTTGGGATAATTCTAAAGATTAAGATGTTTTATCGCCCGGAAGCCACGAAATGACCTTGTGTAGAAGTTCACACAAACTCCCAGATCAAATTTTTCTGTTTGATTAGCGGAAAACGGTGCGTTTCTTGAAAGACAATTGCAGGAATCGCAGACATTGAACAGTGCCGCTGTAACTGTAACAGTCGTCTTCGTCGTCGCAGGACTTTTCAATAATGGACTGCTTGTTTTTTGTAGATATGAAAAGCGTCACGGCGGTATGATCGGTCAGGATCCGTAAATTATCTTATTAGAATATGCTTGTGCGTTGAAATATGTCAATAACAGGATTATAAATCATTTTATCTTACCGAGTCACAAGACAATAATGCTTTGACATTTAACTGTACTAGCATAATTAACTAAGAATGGGTGAAGTGGTTTCTAAGATCTCCACGTATCTTCCATTCAGGGATAATGAACCTGTTAATTCTAATTCAAATAATCTCCAAAATTCTATTTCTTCTTCCACAGACAAAATTCAAAAGGAAAAAGAAAAACCGAGTGACACGAGGACGCTAGTGATGCCTGCAATGCGCAGGCGCCAGTCGGAACAAACAACATTTGTTGTTCCACGGATATATGTGGATTATGGAAGTCGTAGAACTTCTTACGCTTCAGATTATTTTCGGAGATCATCAGGTGAAAGCGGAAGTAGCAGAAGGACTTCTTGTGCTTCTTCCCTTGCATCTATGGACGATAGAAGAGGTTCCGGAAGTAGTATAAGTAGCAGAAGAACTTCTGCAGCTTCTGATGTTGATCGGAGAGGATCCGGAAGTAGCATTTGTAGCAGAAGAACGTCTCTGTTATCTTCTGAGTGTCCGTCCCGAAGAGGATCCGGAAGTAGTAAAAGCAGCAGAAAGAGTTCAGATGCCAGTAGAATTGGTGATATTACAGACGACATTCTTGCTGGTACGTTGTTTCCTGTTTACATTTAAATTAATTTTGTTTCTCCACCATACTGAGAAGTTTACTTAATGTCATGATAGTCTTTTTTCTGGTGACATGCATTTATATGCAGAAAAATGCAGTAGCTACAAATTGAATTTTCCAAATACTGGGCAGATTTTTCAGATTGTGAAATCTTGGAGGAAGATTACCGATCAGTTATGCAGACACAGGAACCTCGAAGATCTAGTCTGGAAGAAAATATCGGCAAAACAGTGACTCCAGCTGAAAAGAAGATGTTGTATAGAAGGAGTCACTCCTTGGCGGAAATTCGACCCACGCACGTGTTTCTGCCTGAAGGTTTGAAACCGTATATTTCTTCAAGATTAAGTGATTAACGTTAAACATCATTGAAATTTATGATAAATCATTGTCCTATAATATACCCTGTGTAAATCTGAAATCGTAATTTTGCAAGGGTAAGTTAGTTGAAAATCAATATATCATGAGATTAAAAGGCATTTAAAGGCTTATCATTTGCATAAACTGGATTGTACATTACTGGTAACCTAAAAACTAGTAGAGTAACAAAAATAAACGTTACACGATCAGCTTTTTTCGTTTAATCTGATATCTAGATTCTCGCCGCTCTGATATTCTGAGCTTTGATATTGCTACAGTTGTAATCTAATGTATTTACGTCAACTCCATACCAAGAATCAAAACAAAACCAATATTTCTTACAATAAACACGATATATCTATAATATTAATATTTAAGTTTTTTGGTGCTAGGCCATGTGAACAAAAAAAGAGTTCAAGGTTCATCTAAAAATTCTGTGAAAAATCTAATAATCATTTTCTTCTGTAATATCCCATACATAATCTCCACAATTTTTTTGCTGATATCAAATTCCAAGTGTTGGGAGTTCTTTTACCGGAAGTGCGTCATCAAAGAAAGCCGTACTTTCTCATTGCTCATTTATTGTAAGCATGTTCGACCCGTATGCAGGGAAATTTTATGTGTTTGTCGATTGGTAATACTCGTATAATACTATTAAATCTAGGAATTATTGCCATTAAATGATGGTGTACCTTCTTTGTGTTTTAGGACGAGGTCGCACAGACGGCAGACGGATAACTTTGTCCTCCTTGGCTCTAGACCACAATATAGCCACCGTCGGTCACCATTATCAACGAAAGAAGCCAAAATTCAATGTATGTTTCAACTATGGATTAAATCTGTATATAAAATACACATAGGTTCCCTTAATATTTTCATTAATTTGAAATGCTCAATTTTTCTGAAAAATTCTTTGAAATTAGAGCATTAATATATTCTTCATTAATGTTTATTTCTCAATATTTAATCTAATATCAATTAAGAATATTTGAGGAATCAAATTTATTCAGATTCCTCAAAGTGGATTATTTGAACGATCCTTGCTCTAATGGCGTTTTTTTTTTCTATATAATTCAGTAGATCTGACATAATTATAAGAGGAATTAAGGTCAGACAACATGCTCCTCAATAATATATAATTTTCCTAAGAATTTGTGATTGAAGTATTGCTACTTTTAGAAGTTTCACAAAAAATTGAGGTGCTTTACTGGACATTTGTGCAAGATTGCACAGGATGTCATTTCCTATATTTTTCTACTGAAAATCACTTGAATCGCTGATATCACAATTTTGTGTGTATATTTTTTGAAACATTTTGAAAACAGCTTAAAAATCAGAAGATTATAATTATTTTTGGTTTGAAAACAAATATTCGAGGTGTGTGTCGTCAGACCTTAAAGTAGACATGGAATTTTCTTATGTTTTAAGATAAAACCATCCCAATCTTTGTCATATCACCCTACTGTAGTTTGGTTTGATAAGTAGAAGATTTTAGATGTACAAAAATATCAAGTATTTCACAGTAACGTACTCTTTTCAATAACTGTAATCCGCTGAGTTGTTTTAAAAACAGAAACCCAGTGACACTGGGTAAGATCGTTTTCTTCAGGAAACCTTAGTCTTCACACTCTCTAAGAGTAATGTTTTGCAGTGATGTGATATACTTCAGCTTATTCTCCTCATGCTTTCACTTGTCATGAATAATTATTGATTAACAACCGTCATTATACAAAGAAATCTCAAGCAGAAGACAGCGTTTGAAGTTTTTCATACAAGATTTGATATTTCTGATTATTGAATTGTATTCACTCCGGCAGAAGACGGAGAGCGGTGTTTTTGCTTCAATATTTCATGTATTTGTTGCCAAGAATTAAAACAATTCTAATCAGAAACTTTAATTAAAGAAAAGAACTAAACAACGTACATTACGCCAAGTCATGCGTTTTGAGAAGCATTTGTTTGCAATGAGAAAAATACTACGTAATTTAGCAATGATATATGTATGTATCATGTATGTTTAAGATTTAGTTAACTCAAATCAACTTGGACATCATTCAAGGATCAAGAAATATTTTAGATAAATACGGTATTGATTAGTGAACTCTATAGGTATACTCTTTTAAAGTCTTCTATTGCGTATTTTGTATTTTGTAAAAGCAATCCATCATATTTTGCCTCCATTTGCTAACAGAGACCGAGTGGGATTGGGCTACCAGACAAACCTGTTGTCATGCACGACTTGAACTTGGAGGAAATGGTGGTTCCCCGATTGGCGGCTCCACTGCAGCCTACAGGAAAACTAAAGATCCAGTTTCAGTATTCAGAGGACAGAACTTCCTTAACTGTTATCATCATTGAGGTCAGTATACAACTATACATGTCACGATTTTACTCATAAGTTAAAAAAGCACGTCATATGATACAGACTTAAGGCACAAATATTGCAGAGAGACTGCTACTTTTTTCAAATACAAGAATTAAATATTGCAGATTACATTTTGTACAACATATATAAAGTTTATAATTTTTTTTTAAGATTTGGCAAATATGATAAATAATAATTCAATTTGTGTTTACCAGGCCAGACGGCTTAGAATAGAGGGTATACCAAACGATACAGAGTTAAATCCCTATGTGAAAGCATTCCTTGTTCCAGGAAAATCTTTCAAATATAGAACAAAAACAATTCCAAAAACAAAGGTAAGTATCTGTAGAAAATATGACAACATTACACATGTACTACAACAGCACATCAAACAGATGTGGTTAAATATTCAGTTAATTTAATTTCTGGAATAGAAAAAAAGTATCTTTTATCAATTACAGAATCCTGCTTTTTTGGAGAAGTTCATAATAAATGATGTTCTACCAAGCGATATTAACGATGAAACCGTTCTTGAATTCCAAGTCTATTCCTCACATCACGTGACCAGACGTCACTTAGTGGGCGTGGCGTCAATATCTCTTAGGGCAATAGAAACTTTAGAAAACGGATTAGTGGACCTCACTATCATGCCACAAACTGTTTGCAGGGTAAGTATAAGGAAAAAGATACCAAGTTGATTTAATTCAAGAATAAACAGGAATATAGGATTAAAACGTGTATGTATACCTACGACATTTTTATTGTCATTTTTGTACATAAAACCCTTAATTCACTAGAAAAGAAGGAATACTTGATATAAGTATTTTCTATGATTTTTGCAGTGCTTTGCTTTATGATTAACCAATTTTTTTTACTTCAGCTTCATCAAGGTGATATAAGGATATCAGGCTGTTATCAGCCAGTTGCTGGTAAAATGGTTTTCAACATTTTAGAAGCAAGGAACATCCCTCGTGTTTCAATACTTGGTGCTGTCAGTAAGTCAATTTATTGTATCATAAAGCTATCTAAATCAGCATTGTATTTCAACCTTGGAACTATGAAATCAAAATTTTTGTTTTGTAGATCCGTATGTAAAGATAGAAATGTATGTCAACGGAGTTAGAGAAGCAAAGGGCACCACAAAAACCCGCCAAAATACTCAGGACCCCATGTGGAACCACCAGGCTGTGTTTGAAATTAACAGAGAAAACCCTAAACTTCTTGGTCATGTTTTCTTGTTTCGTGTTTTTCACAAGGATATGATGATGGGTGTCCAGGAAATTGGACAGGTATTCCCAAGTAATATTGATATATATATATGTAGATACATGTGGTCATAGAAGTCGCTAATAATTGGTATATGAACATGTCTACCTTGTACATCTTTTTTATCAGCATTGGCTGTGAAGTTGATTGATAAATTAGTACAATATTGTCCTATCCTAGCAAACATTACGGCGTATGAAATGTTACAAAGACATTTTATTTTCAAAACTTGGACTAAAAAAAAAAATAAAGCAGTGTTGGTATTTATCAATGCAACCTGCTCATTTATTAAAGAGATCGGAATAAACTTGTCAACTCGGTTTAACTTGTAAAGAGATAGTGAAGATCTTTTTTTCATTTTTTTTTATTATTCTGAGAGTTTGATTTTTTTTTTACTAATTTATAGGTAGAATTTGGTTGGCACAGCCACGGGGAACAATTAGACCACTGGTACGACATTATGGAACATCCACATCGTCCCACAGACTACTGGCACCAAATCATCAAAACCAGCAAACTACAAACATAACACACATTCACACACTCATACACACTCACCAAAGAGCAAGAAAAATGTCGGCCAAAATTATAAAACCAATAGGAAGCACTAACAGGATATTAAAACCGAGGAAATCAGTGGGCATATTGTTATTATTCTGTGAATGAGCTATTTATCTCGTGAATGAAAAAAGGAAGTCTTACTTAGACTGAGATGAAACTAAGTAATCTTCAGTCTAACTTTAATTTTTATACATTTGGAAGTGATGTTTTTCGTTTGATCCTTTTTCCTTAAATAACATATGATATGTCAGCTGTGAATTGAAAATGCTTACAAAATTACGACTGTAGTGTGATGAACCGTGCACCTGTACGTGTTATTATGTAACATAGACAGATGGAGAAGGTTGTAAATCAGCCTCTTCTATATATGGTAATCCTAGACAGACTTGTCCATATGCTGTGGTTTGTGTTTCATATTCTGACAGCCTGTGAATGTTTGGTAAAGACGTTTCTGGGTGTTTGTTGCTTTTTCGGATTCGTTTTTTTTGTATGTAACTTAAAAGTGAGATCAAGGAAAGCAAAATAAATTAGCTTTTAACATTATAAAAATGCTGCATGTAGTTGAGGGTAACATTGAAAATTTTCACCCCAAGAAAATATTTTTCAATCTTACCTCAACTACATGCAGTATTTATTATTTTATAAGGAATGTTTTATAGAAATACCAAGAAAGGTGAAGCGCGCGTGTATAGATTCCGCGCAGTCACTTTTTTTTTAAATATTACCCGTCGTCAAGCAATGTTGACTGTTGCTAAGTTCTATCGCGCTGAAGGGCGTGGTTTCATCATTCGGGGGCAACAGTGTTTTTTTAATAAGTGTTTCTCGTCGAATGAAATTCAAGTTATTTACATGAAAGTATAATATTTCAAAATACAGCACTGTCTCGTACTTTATAGCTAGATAACAATCAACTAAAAATCTTTCTTCTTTTTTTTTTACCTTAATACACAAATTGGCTTTTTATGGAACACAGTTTTGCAAAGCAGAAATGAATATATTTTGCTGAACAACACGCAGAAAAAAACATTGCTGGTAAATTAAAATAGATTTCCCGTACAGTGTTTCACTGACTTTCAATATACATGTGTGTCTCTGAAACTAAAAAATGTACTTTTGTTAATATTCTGATATTATATCATAACCATAAACAATTCCGATTGAAGTATATCATCATAAGTATACATTACATGTATTTTGATTGAGAGCATGAAACGTGTTATATATCTCAAAATTCTTGCATAAAAACACCAAAGCCAAACATTATTAATTATAATATCTCTTATTTATTTCTTATTACATACAGGTAATTTGTGAAAATGATCTCAATAGTTAGGAAAAAACATTATAAAGCCAGTTGTGAATGTTTCTAGAGTAAGGATGAATGAAAAGTGATCTTAATAATGTTTTGTAAATACATGTATCTTCGAATCTCCTCCCCCTTTTTTTTACTTTAGGAGTTTTGAAGAGTGATAAACTTATCTTAACGAAAAATGTTTTATATGAAAGGATATATTTTTTTTATTATATAAGTAATTGTTAATATCTAATTGTACTCGTTTTAATTTAAAAAATCAATTAAGCAGTCATCTCTCTATCACATCCTTTTTAGAAAAACAGATGAATACTGTTGTTAATTCAAAATGTGATATCTATCAAATTTCTATTCTATAACTGTTGTTAACTGTAAAATTTTGTAAAAAGAAATTTGTTGATATAAATACTATTGATGAATAAAATTCTGTTTTACGTCAGTTTTATGTTTTTATGTCTTGTTAACCCAAGTATATTCCTTTCAAATGTTAGTTTAGTTAATAACAATGATGACATGACGTATGTCAATCTAACCATATAGTAAAAATACTACTAACAAACATGCAACACTTTGAATAAGGTTTGTTTGTGAAACACTGATGCCCTCGTATGGCAGCTCTGGGCCAAAGGTTTAAGTTTTTCAAACGTAGGTAAAATTCCAAGGTCAAGGCCAAGAGTTAAAAAAATGTTGGTACCCAAAGAAAATGTCTTGTCACAAGGATACATGTGAAATATAAAAGCCCTGGCACAAACCATTCAAAAGTTATGGGCAAGGTTAAAGACAGAGACAGGCGGACGGACAGGCCAAAAACTATATGCCCCCGAATCTTCGATAACGGAGGCATACAAATTAACATGGACAGCATATAATCATAGAAATGTCATCAACAGAGCTGACTAAAACATGCGACAAAAAGTAAAGTTTTCCTCCAAGTTGAGATTACAATTTAAAAGTGCCTAGATATTGACCATGTAAAGCAAAAGCCACCTAAGTGTTCTTGTTTTTCCTCCTCTTTCAACTATAATCCTGCGTGAAACATAATTACTCGTGGTGTAAATAAAGTTGAAAACGACAAGCTGAAATATCGAAAATTCAGGGAGCCCCAACTTTTCAAATGGCAACAGAACTTCCTTTATATCATGATTTCTGTTGTACATGCCAGACAATGGGCAAAATATGAAGGGGAAGACCTCGATTTTTTCAGAATGGATAAAGGCTTTTGGAAATACATTGAAGAATCGTATTAGATAATTTAAAGGCAAAATACGAACTATGTATCCTTCCGTTTCAAGTAAACTGGAAGTTATTTAAGTATTAGAAAGACTACATGAACAATATGCTATGATTCCAGCTGATAAAGCCTTATATAGTCTTTTAAGGGCTCATTATTACAACTGCATTTTAGAAGAACTTGGCTAGTAATGCAACGTATTCTCACAGGTTCCCTTTCAAAGGATGAAATTCTTCAAAATCATGTCTCAGTTTAAATATTTTTATCATTTCGCTCAACATTAGTAACATAAGTGAATTTTCAAATTCGTTCAAAAACCTCATAAAAATTCTTACAAACAAAATCCAGTAAGTTTCACAAAGCCCTTTCTTTACTCCTCTTTTAAAAAATATCAACTGCTGCGAAGGGGACAACTTTAGTCGCTATGTGCTATTATTATAGTTCTTCCAGAAGTGGTTTAAGTGTGGTTTCTCAAAAACTACAAAGAACTTTTGGAAAAAAAATCAATGGTCCCAAAACATGACTTGATTACGCTTTATATAGCCATTCCTCAAAGTAATTGGAGACCTGAGTTTTGGACCTCATGACACCTGTTTCTTCAATAAATAAAAAAGAGACTAGGAAAATTTCACATTTTGTGTTTAGCCGTTTACAAAGTAACTTTGAAAAAAAAATCATTCTGATTCTTAACACAAGAACTCTGGAGTTGATATTTATAAGGTGCTGGCGTTCAACATTAACAACATCTACTAGTATGTAGTCCTCGAACACCACGCCTTCTTACAATCTTTATAATTCCGATGGACTCTAATTGTGTTCCTTTGTTAGCTAATCCGTTTCATATTCTTATAAGACAGGATTTATTCAAAAACTTCAACAAGAGAAGAAGAAAATTATTGCAGTTGCCTTCAATGCAATATTTAAATATGATGACGTTTCATCAATTACCCATAGTTATTTTCTTTCATATGTCGACTCGCTATATCCCAGTGAATTCAAAATAAAAAGACATCACAGAATCTGCCACCTCTGTTTCATATTTGGATGTATTTTACTAACTATAGACAATAATGGCCAGCTAAAAACTTTATGACAACTTGATGACTTCAACTTTTCCATCATCAACTTCCCCTGTTCATGCATTTTCCAGTTTTACCTGCATATGTTGTTTAATGTCTCCCAGCCGATTCGGTGTGCAAGAGCATGTTCTGAGTACGATCAAATTTTTAACCGAGACAAATATTATAAGCTGATGTTTCAGGGCTTTCAACAATCTCGATTAAAGTCAGCATTTTGCATATTCAATAATTGATATAATGACCTTGTTTGTAAATACAGCCTTTCGTTGGGTCTTATTTGATTGGCAAGTTTGATACCAATTGTTAGGCCTATGTTTTTACACTAATTTTGACTACGGATTGCTTTTTTTTTTACGTGATAAGTACAGAGGGCTTACGGCAGGTGTGACCGGTTGACAGGGCATGCTTACTCCTCCTAGTTACCTGATCCCACCTCTGTTGTTTCCAGGGGTCCGTGTTATTGCCCTGTTCACGATTCCTTTTGATTTATGAGAACAATCACGATTCGGTATCTTCACCTTTTTCATTACTAATGCAAGCCTACAAAGTACATGTACATTTGATATTTCATCAACTCCATAGATACCAGAACTATTTTTTTTTATAGTAGAACTATTTTTGGCAAAGTATTGCAAACATCATGATACATACATCGTAGACTAGCTGGACCTTGAATAATAAATGTTCAATTAAGATAATAATACAGTGTTTTCTTATAAATATAATAAACTGTTAATGTGGAACAAACTTGAGGAACTTTACTTTTTTATGAAGATTAAATCATGAAAATCAACAGATCAAACTGTTTTGCAAATATCAGATATGTTAAAATTCAATGTCAACTACGAAGAAATTCACTAAAAGAATGATTTCGTAAACCTTAAGCAGGTGCAATAAAGGACAAGGTATGGTAAGGGCCGAATCTGGCCCCTTATTTGATGCAAAATTCAGAACACAGTTAAAATTGTGATAGTTTGTAGTTAAGAACTTAAAATGATGCTTGTTTTAAAACCAGCACTGATATTGATTCAAAGCTTACACGGAGGCCACAAAAGGGTGCAGAAGTAGGACATTTTCCCGAATTTCCTCAATTCTGGTGGAATTTCGTCAAATTTGAGATACTTTTCACTTCGGGAAACATAGAGCACAAGCTTGCCTATCTGAGATTTTTATACATAAGATACATCTGATACTAGTGTATGAAATATATAAATTTCGTAGATAGGCAAGCTTGTGCTCTATGTTTTCTGAAACAAAATGTACGGTAAAATCGACGAAAATTTCCATAAAAATGAGAAAATTCGGAAATTGACATATTTTCTGACCTTCCTGTGACCTATGTTTATCCCATAACTTAGAACCAAGACTCATTTTGTGGTAGGGGTGACAACAGGTTTTTTTTAATAAACTGTTGCATCATTCTAAAAGACACGCCAAACCAGGGCCAAAAAGGGGTCTTAGCCTATCTTGTCCTTTCAATTATTCATTTTGAAAATAAAGTGATATATGTATTAAATAACATTACGCAGTGGTTTCATATTTTACTTTGAAAATGACTTTGAAATCCTAAAAATGTTGATTCTGTCTTAAATGATTGGAACACAACGAGGAATAACTAAACCACCGAGTACTATATCACACAACATGCACATCGCCTACCAGTCTCGGCAGCGAATCATTAGAGTAACAATAGAGAAACATTGAATCGTAGTACGAGTCACCTAAGGCAATATTTCTAAAACTCCTCGGAAAACCAAACACAATTCAAACCTTACAAAGAAAGGCAGATAATGAAACATCTCCGCCCATGGCAATCTACTGCAAAACTCAAATGATAAGGAGCTTCATTTAAATGACCACAGTCAAGAAATTGTTTCAGAGAAAGTACAATTTTTGGCTAATTGGCTTTATGTAAGAGAGAGAGAGAGAGAGAGAGAGAAAATTTCCATACCAAGCATAAATGATATACATGATGTCTTTGTATTTCAATCAGCTGAGTAAAATACCTTTAATTTAATAGTTATTTACTTTAATTTTCC